AAAAAAAAAAAAAAACACTTCATACAAGAATTTGTAATTTTTTTCAATAATCTTATAATGTTTTGGATGAAGATCAGATTTGGATTTTGGATAGCCCATTGACGTCAAAACAAGACAATAATTTCTTTTTTTTTTTAATAAGAAAAAAAAATAATTCTAACCTATTCAGTCACGGGATAATGTTCCTCTACCCACGGTGGACACATGTTAATATGCACACCACTTATATGGCATCCGCACATTGGTGATGTTAATATATTCAAACAAATACATCACCAATTAATGAATACCACATAAACGATGAACATATTAAGATGTGTCCACAGTGGGTAGGTGAGCATTACTGGTCAGTCTCCACCTCCAATTGGCAATTCCCATGTTCCATGTTGTTCAATTTACGTCCACCACAAAACTAACATTAAATTATTTTTTTTTTCATTGTAGATTCGAAAGAATACAACAAAAATCCACGTGAATATGCCCCCAAGGGCACAAAGGTAAATTCACCCCAATCCAACAAGTTCCAGGAAAGCCCATTGGGTCGTCGTCCTTTTGCAAACAACCTTTCCACGTAGACGGAGGCTGGCATAATTTCGGTTCCTCCCAGAATATTCCCCATATCACCACATAATTACACAAATACCACTCTTTATCAACCCCCAATCTCCACCGCCCGATCTCACCCACCCGTCACAAAAAGTTAAAACCCAATCAACGGTTGACATTAATTACCAGAAACTTTATCACAATCTATCTGTATTTCTGTACTAAGGGTAATATTCCTTGGCATCTCCAACTAATTCACCCAACAAAAAGTGCAGTATAAATAAGCGTAACCAATCTCATTTTACACAAAATAAACTTGTGTACTAGTAATATTTGATCAGTTGTTCAACAATGGCGGATATTGTGATAGTGTTCGATTTCGACAAGACGATTATCGAGCTGGATAGCGATAATTGGGTCGTCGACGAGCTCGGCGCGACTGATTTGTTCAACGAGTTGCTTCCAAAAATGCCTTGGAATTTCTTGATGGTAATTCAATTGCAGATTTTTTTTTTCAATTTAATTTATT